ATGAGAACTTGCATGATTTCCCTAAAAGATATTTAATTTCCACTGGGCATAATCACTTGCAGCTGCCAGAATGTGCTGTGTACCAGTGGTGAGTTCTTGTCTTTGGAGACTCATGCAAGTCATTATTTAAAAATAGAGATCCGGGAGTTACAGCTGGCTAATTAATCTACCACTAAGGAAAGCTAAGCAAGTGACCCACTTAACTGCTTTCAGGAACCATGGCTACTCTGAAGCAAACTTTTGAAAAAGTCCCATACAAACAACCAAACTAATATATCCTCATGGCACGTCGTGGTCTTCTCAGAAAACATGTTCCTTCTCCATCTGCTACTCATTCCCACGAACACCACCAAGTCAGACCTTTACCCATACACATGTGATCGTCCACGGTGTGGGTTCCCGATGCTTTGCCTACTGGATCCTTCTTTCTGAGGATGCTGCCAGACTTATTCTTCCTCTCTTTTTCCTACATCAGCCGCCTGCTCAGGAGCCCCGCTGCAGTCCATGTTCCCAATTACCTCAGCTCTGAGGCCTCCACCTGTCTTCTGAGGATTCCACTAAGAGACCCATACCACATATTTACCCATATTTCTTCCACTCCCTCCTCTGCACCTTTTCTTCCAGGCAGAACAGGTCTCTGCCCTCTCATTCTGTCCCCTTACTCAGACCACATTTCCCATTCCTCTCTCAGCCTGAATGTGGTCTGTACATCCTGCAAAGCTCCATGTGTCTATCTCAGGATATTTTTTCCTTGGACTTGGTAGCAGAGGGCTGATAAAATCAAATCATGACACACTTTTATCATTGGTCTGTGAGGACCCTGACCTTGTTCTTCAGTGAGTCTATTGATGTATTTATTATATTTCTTCCTACTCCTTTCCTGCTCACTGAAGAGGCAGGCATTCTGTTACATTTCATGTACATATTTTTTTATTGCACATGTCCTTGTCAAAAAATTGTCGTATGTACATGTATTTTAATTTCCATAAATGACATATGTTAAATTTCCTGTTTTTTATTTTATTTACCCAGTCCTGTACCTTTTTTTTTTTCTTTTTTGAGACAGGGTCTCACTCTATCACCCAGGCTGGAGTGCAGTGGCATGATCTTGGCTCACTGCAACCTTTACCTCCTGGGTTTGGGTGATTCTCCTGCCTCAGTCTCCTGAGTAGCTGGGACTACAGGCGTCCACCACCATGGCTGGCTAATTTTTGTATTTTTAGTGGAGACAGGGTTTCACCATGTTGGAGAGGCTGGTCTTGAACTCCTGACCTCAGGTGATCCACCTGCCTCAACCTCCCAAAGTGCTGGGGCTACAGGCATGGGTCACTGTGCCTGTCCCTGTCCTATACCTTTAAAGTACTTCCATGTCTCTAATACTCCATGGTAGGCAACCACCGCCTTTAACTCTTCACTGTCTTCAGAATGTACACATCAAGATCCCTCTTACCTCCTGTGTCTCCCCTTCTTTAAAATCCCCTGGCCTTAATTTACTATAAAGTAGACTCTTAATTATATTTTTTATAATTTCCTATGAAGGTTTTATGTTTCTCCCTTGTCTCTCATGTAATTCCTCTTGAGATCAGAGGCCATCTCTTCTACTCTTTTCTTTCCTACTCCACCCAACACTACTTCTGTAGATGTTCTTTGTAGCTCTCTGCATAATTCATATTCAATAAATCCTTGTTCATTCAGTAAATTGAACAGCATGACTCCATGAACGCAGGTATTTTCTCTGTTCATAAATCTCCAGTGTCTAAATTGTACATGGCATGTCACAGGTGATCAGGAAATAGCTTTGAAGAAAATAATTGTCTTACCTTTCACATAAGAAGTGATTATGAAGTAATAGATTATGCAGGGGTCAGGATACCTATGTTCTAGTTTCTAGTTTGCTGCCAACTAGATGGTGTGACACTGAGAACATCAGGTAGCTTTTCTGGATCTTGGTTTGACTGAATGATTTTGCATATCCTTTTTCACTTTAACTTGCTAAGATTGACTTTATTAACAAATTTTCAACATGAAATAAGACAACCTTCAATATAAAATTATCTCTAGGGATGGAATAATCATACTCAAGGCAGCAGGGCATGTGAGAGGTAGCGTTAGGTAGAGAGATAAGAAAACATCCTATGGTTCCAATCTTTGGCTTTCAGAATGGTTGGTAGAACCAAATGAATTACTACCTGTAAAGGGCTTAGAAAAGTGCCTGGCACACGGTAAGTCCTAAATAGTGCCTACTATTATTTTTATAAATTTAAGAAATTCTGCTAGCCTTTGTAATAATCTTTTACCTGGCATTTGGAGATTATCACCGTGCTGAGGAGGAGGTAGCCTAGAAGCTTCCTTTTCTAGGTAAAGGGGGAAGCAGTGTGGATTCTTTAGTGTGTTCTGATAGCCATTGTCACTATGCACTTCTTTGAGTCTTTAAATCTTCTGCTGCATTTTAAAGCATTTTCATAGTAAGTAGTTTGGCCTAATAAAACATTTTTATAGCCAAAAAAAATACCAGGAACTCTAGTATCACAACTGAAATTAATAGGTTTTTTTGATAGGACAGCAATCACCAGACACAGTCTGATTTCTTTAAGCATAAACGTTTCTTTTTTCCCTGGTAACAGACAAGTTCTAATTCTCATGGTTTTTATAAAGTGAGATAAAGCAATATTGTCCTTCAACATCAGGTAGCAGCCAAGAATGATATTGGGGCCAGAATCCTGAGCTCTATATTTTCTATATATTTTTTAAAAAATGGCTGTTTCTTCTATAGAGCATTCACTTAAAACTGGAAACAGAATAGAGCTGTGAATTTATTAATATCATATCAGGATGCTATTTTTCCCTATGGTCAGGAAGTAGTAACTAAATAACCTAATTTGATTTCTGTTATCCTCAGGGAAGTGAATCCAAATATTGGCAAACCATTATTAAAATTCTGAACAGCATTTAAAGCATGAGCTTGTTTGTTGCTATAAGGCTATTTTTTTTTCTCTAGGTCAAGAGGTAAAGCTATTTGTCTTAAAGAAAAAAACATTAAATGGTATTGGTAATGGGCTGCAGGTTTTATAACTTAACTATATTTGCTTCATGAGCAAAAATAGCATTTGATGACTATTTTATTCTACTATTCTTGGACAAAAGAAGTCTTAATCAAACATCATTTCAGTTTAATACTTTTACATGCAAAATTCAGTTTGGGAATTTATCTGCTATCTAAATGTTAAGATAAAATAAGATAAAAATACAAAATGAGGACTAGAGACTCCATATAGACTAGAAATTTTGGACAAAGGAAGGGGTACAACTTCTACCCAAAGGATTGGAGAAACAGGTAGATAAAATGTTCAGTTATCAATAACAACCTAGGAAAATGACCATGATTCAGTTGTTTTAGAGCTGAGAAACACTGGAGTAACTTATAAGACTTACAGGATGTCTTAGTCTATTCTCACACTGCTATGAAAAAATACCAAGAAAAAGGTTTAATTGGCTCACATTTCAGCATGCCTGGGCAGGGCTGAGGAAATTTACAATCATGGTGGAAGGGGAAGCAAACATGTCCTTCTTCACGTGGCGGCAGGAAGGAGAAGTGCCAAGCAAAAGCTCAATATAAAACCATTATATCTCATGAGAACTCACTCAACATCATGAGAACAGCGTGGCAGAAAACTCTCCCATGATTCTATCATCTCCACCTTGTCCCTCGCCCAACATGTGATGACCACAATTTGTATTACAATTCAAGATGAGATTTGGATGGGGTCACAGAACCAGACCATATCACATGGTGAAATGAAAATGTGTTAGAAAGCAAAGAAAAAAAAAAAACAAGGGTTGCAATCTTAGTCTCTGACAAAACAGACCCTAAACCAACAAAGATCAAAAAAGACAAAGGGGATTATATAATGATAAAGGGAACAATTCACCAAGAAGAGCTAAATATTCTAAACATATATATGTACCCAATACAGGAGCATCCACATTCATGAAACAAGTTTTCAGACACCTACAAAGAGACTTAGACTCCCACACAATAATAGTGTGAGACTTTAACACCCCACTGTCAATATTAGACAGGTCAATGAGACAGAAAATTAACAAGGATATTCAGGACTCGAACTCAGCTCTGGATAAAGTGGATCCAATAGACATCTACATAACTCTCCAGGCAACTTTCACAATGGGAGAAAACTCTTGCAATCTACCCATCTGACAAAGGTCAAATATCCAGAATTTACAAGGAATTAAACAAATATACAAGAAAAAGAAAAACCCATGAAAACGTGAGCAAAGGATATGAACAGACACTTCTCAAAAGAAGACATTTATGTAGCCAACATACATGAATAAAACCTCCACATCACTGATCATCAGAGAAACACAAATCAAAACCACAATGAGATATCATCTTATGCCAGTTAGAATGGTGATTATTAAAAAGTCAAGAAACAACAGATTCTTGCAAGGCTATAGAGAAATAGGAATGCTTTTACACTGTTGGTGGAAATGTAAATAAGTTTAACCATTGTGGAACACATTATGGTGATTCCTCAAAGATCTAAAACCAGAAATACCATTTGGCCCAACAATCCCATTACTGGGTATATACCCAAAGGAATATAAATCATTCTACTATAAAGATGCATGCACACATATGTTTATTGCAGCACTATTTACAATAGCAAAGACATAGAACCAACCCAAATGCCCATGAATGATAGGCTGGATAGAGAAAATGTGGTACATATACATCATGCAATACTCTGCACCCATAAAGAGGAATGAGATCATGTCCTTTGCAAGGACATGGAAAAAGCTGGAAGCCTTCATCCCCAGCAAACTAACACAGGAACATAAAACCAAACACCACATGTTCTCACTCATAAGTGGAAGTTGAACAGTAAGAATATATGGACATAGAGAGGGGAACAACACACACCAGGGCCTGTTGGGGAGTGGAGGGTGAGGGGAGGAAACTTAGAGAAACCCCCAAGGTGATTGGGGGCATAGAAAGGGATCACTAAGTAAGCTTTTAGAGTTAGAAAGTTCAAAGGAGGTTAGGGAAAATAGAGGAAGGGAATTTCAGAGGAGGTGGCAATGGGTGCAGCAAATTACCACAGTACACATTTACCTATGTAACAAGCTCGCATCTTCTGCACATGTATCCCTTTTTAAAAAAAAAAAAAAGAAATAAAAACAAAAATTTTTTTTAACTGGAAATTTGTTTTTACACATGAATTTAATTTTGGGGGGTACCATAGTTCTCTATTAAGATAAAAATGGGCTATATTCTAATGTTATTCTGTTTTGTGTTACTATATTATCACAACAGTTCTCAGCTGAAGCTGCCATTTTTTTCTTATATGGTACAAATTGAAATACAATAGGCATTTTGAACACCCATATAATGTTGCCATGAATTAAAGGAGATGATATTTAGAAAGGCAATTTGAAAAATCTCAAGTGCTGTACACATTTGTTTCTGCTATTATTTTATTCAATAAAAATCAGAAAAGTGCCTATTGTGTACCAGAAACTGCTTTAGGCACTTGAAGATTTATGGAAAAATAATAATACTGACCTTTGCCCTTAAGGATTTCATAATTATGCTGGGGAAACCAATATCTAAACAGAATGTCAATGTAACGTGGTAAGTGTGATGATAGAGACATGCCAAGGTGCTTGAGGGCATAGAAAGGGATCACTAAGTAAGTTTTTAGAGTTAGAAAGTTCAAAGGAGGTTAGGGAAAATAGAGGAAGAGAATTTCAGAGGAGGAGGTGGCAAGAATGTAGCCTTCAGGTGAAAAATAGTGTAGTATATTCTGAGCAGTAAAGAGATCAGCATTCCTAGAGCTTAAAATATTGAGCAGAGAATAGCAGAAGATGAGTCTCTACAAGTCAGATTACAGAAGGTCTGTTTGTTATGTTAAAGGTTCAGATTTATCTTCTTGGTGATGGAAATTCAATAAAGTAAGGAAACAATGGGGTCCCTCCAGGGGAGTATGAAAGGTGGATCCACGGGTCAGAGAGAACAGTGAAGAGGGCATTGCTGAAGTCTAGGAGAAACAGCCTTCGGTTATTTATGTTTCCATACTGTTTCTTACAGACTCAGCCCAGGTATCTGATCTTTCCAACATCTATGCATAAGCTTTTCTCAAGCAGTGCTGGTGATCTCCATACTCCATCTTCTTCCTGAAATATTTACTGATTATCTGCATTCAAGTATGTTATAAACTATTTTAATTTGACATATAAATATCAGTCATGTAGCTAACTGCACCCACCTTCCCAGGAGCATCTGCTTTTTGTGACAGAGACTCTGACTTTCAAGGGCCTTGCCTTATTACACTATGCCCCACTATTCAACCTGTCTTCCTACCAATGCACTACTATGCGCCCTGTGCTGCAGTTATGCATGTCTTCACTGTTCTAAAAAGTAAAGCACATGGTGTGCATATCACATGGCTGGAGTAATCATTAGGGCAGTGAAGATTTTCTGAGGTGTCCCCATCATATCACACCTGTTGGGGAATGCCACAGGCAGCTCTGTGAGGGTGTGCTGCTGCTTCTGAGATGGTATATTCCCACACACATTGCCTCATTCGTAACAAGTTTTCAGCTACAGATTAGGAATACTATTCATCCCTTCTGTCTTAGCAGAATGTTAGGAACATTTGAATCAGTGCTACTTTTTTTTTTTTTTTAAATCAGGTTTTACTGCTGTTTGCTGTTTACTGTCACAATCACAGAAGTAAAGGCTAACCCATTTTCATCTTTAAGAAAATTGTGTTTTACAATATGTCAAACAATCTCCAAATGAATAGAAGAAAAAAATGCCCACAGGATTTTCTTGGACTCACTGTCATATCTGGATACTTTATTTTCAGATGTTCTGGCTTTTCCCAGGCTGATAGGATGGCTGGGCTAACAATACAAACACCTTAAGAGCTCTCTTCTCTACTCAGTCTGGACCTAGAATGTGCAGCTTTAGGATTAAGGGTACTAATTTTAGAGTCAGACTGATTTGATTCCTGATTATCACTTACAAACTGTGAGATGTCTTTAGGGTGGTTGTAGGGATTAAATGTGATCATCTGCATTGCTAGTATATAGTAAGGGCTCAACAAATGAAGGCTGCTATGGAATTATGACTATTAATAATTCATGATTTAATTTAAGACATTGCCAGGCAAAGGCTGGGACTGCTTTTTCATCAGGCCTCAGCTATATGGCTACAATATAGAGCGGTTCCTTTTCAGATATGCACACACACTTGCTTCTCATCACTGATGATGCTTGCTCTCTCTAGTCAATTAATATGATCCACCTCTTAGGGTAATCATTTCCCTAAGGACCAAATGTGCTTGCATTCAGTGGCACCCATTGTAATGCAATTAATTTTTTCCAATAATTTACATCTAATAGATAGGTACATTATAAATGAGGGCCATAATAATAAGCTACCTCCTGTTTGCTCATTTTGAAGAGATTCATTAGGGACAGTGGTCCTCAATGTTAATGAAGTGACAAAATCTAATTAGAAGATTGTAGCTACACATGCTAGTGGTAGAATAAGAAGAATTGCCACCTAACAGGTAATGTCACTATCTGTGCCTTGTTTTTGCCCTCCATGGGGGTTGTTTTCACTTTGGTCCAGATCTCACTGTTTTCTTGGGCCTGTTTCAGGTCTCCACCATCTTCTGAATGCTGGCAAATGCCTAAGCTGTAAACAGCTTGCTTTTCTGCAGAACAGCTCATGCCTGAAAAGGTTGATAATGATTTCAAAATTTCTTATAATTGAGTTTTTAATTACAACACAGATAGCAAATATCCCTATCACATGTAATTTTGACAAAGATAACAAGCAATTTCATATTCTTTGGAGAACGTTTGACAAGTGTGGGAGCCCACAGTTAAGTACCGACTGCCTTGTTTTTAGACAGGAATATCTGACAACCACTCACTCAGGGAAGGTTAGGAACTGGAACATCTGGATCTCAATAAATTGTTCAATATAACAGTCCAAGTGCTATAATGCAAGCTGCTACTGGGAATGTAAATCTGACTGGCTGGCTTAGGATCTTATCTTTCTAATTAATAGACCACATCTATGAATTGGGATACTGTAGAGACAGTTGGTGTATGGGCACAGTTTCATCTTAAATAATTTTTTTTATCTTCAGATCTTATCACATCAGAAAAAAAATGCAAATAAATTATTCCAAAATGCAAAGCTTACACTTGAAATGGGTACCATGTTTCTTTGCTACTTTTCTTTTATTGGCATTTACTTAAGAGTTCTAGAGCCATGTCCAGATTTTCAGAACTCCAGAACTAAAACTAGACAAAGAAATTTCTCCATCTTGGAGAGTAGAGAACCCACCCACATTAGCTGGACTACTAGCACCTCCCACAGACTCTCAAAGGTCATTTTCATAACCCCCATGCCTCCTAGTAACATCCAAAGGCTCAAGCTGATATATCTTTTCAACCACAAACCAGTAATTATCAGACTTTTGCATTTCAAAAACCTGGAAAACAAAAATTCTTCTTAATTCAAGTCCTAAAGAGTGGTCAACTTCTTATTTTACTAAGTAAAAATCATTAATTTTTTTCCTTTTCACTCATTTGTTAATTCAGTGAATATTTACTGAGCACATACTATGTGCAGCTACTAAGGTATGTTCTGGGAATGCAATGAAAATCGAAGCTAGATATAGCCCATGACCTCAAGCATTGTATAGTCTAGTGGGGGAGATAGTCACCATTAATTACCTTAATATATATCAAATTTACATTGAACTACGTACTCTGCAGGAAATAGACATGGTTCTCTGCAAGCGTGCCGTATTATACATTAATATTATATGGAATGAGAGTATCAGGGAAATATTTCCCTTAAAAATTAGTGCTTCCACTGAACAAATCTCAGATTATACAGGCCAATTATACATGGTTAGGATTTGGAGCTTTCTGTTAAGAGTAACTAAAGGTAACTAAAGAATTTTGAGCAGGATTGATGTTTTTAAAGAATTCCTCTGGATACTATTAGGGAAAGGATTGGAAGAACAGCAAAAGTGGAAGGAGAGAGATCAGTTAGAATGGCATTTCAGTGGCCTAGATATGACCCGTGTGATGGCCATGGTGCAAGTAACTAGTTGGATTTAAAACATATCTTGAAATTAGGATTTTTGAGACTCTGACAGATGAAGAGAAAGGAAAGAAAGAGAGAAGTATCAAGGATGATTCTCATATTTCCGGCAAGAGCAACTTGCCATTTGATACACCATTTACTGATCTCTAAAGACCAAGAAAGGAGCAGGTTAGGGTAGGAAGGAAGAATCAAAGGTTCCTTTTGGGGCTTGTTAAATTTAAGATGCCTATGATATATCCAAGACAGGAGAATATAGATGTCAGAAGCTTAGAGGAGGGTTTTGATGCTAGATATACATTTAGGAGTCATCAGCATATCGATGGTATTTAAAGCTGTGGGAGTCAATAAGATTTCACAGGAATAAGCATGATGGAAATTATAACATTTTGAGGCCTGAGACAGAAGGCAAAATCTTCAGAGCATCTTTCTATGAAAGGAATTACATTTTAACACCCACAAGGTAGAAAGAACATATTATCAGTCCTTTAAATTAAGGACATTTGGCTGCGTGAAATCTTCTCTCCATTGTCTTTATCATTCTCATTTTGCTGCAGACCAGTGAGAACTTTGTTGTGAAACAGCAGTGGCAAACCACTACCATGGAGTTTCTGCAACTGCCTTAGGCAGCAATGACCTCATTTTGGTAGCAGAAAGTCTTGTCCAAACCCAGACTCACCTGACCTCTTAGAGTTTCCAAGCTTAAAACACATCTGGAGTTTCTGAATCAATTTAGGAAGGACTGAAAGTCACAAAGTAGCACAGATCCTACAATATGACATCCGTTCCCTCCTATCCTACACTGCAAAATCTGTTTCTATGCATTTTGTAGCATTCCTAAGTCTGGGGACTTCACTGCAAACTGTACATCGTCAGTCATATGTAGGGTTTAAAAAAAACTTGCACAGATATCACCTCTTCCTGCCGATCACAGTACTGGTATTTATTGCCGTATTTTTTCCTACTGAACCTAATGTAAGTTTCTACATCCTCCTGTTACAGTGTCCAAGACAGTCTTGATCAATCAGATTGAATATGGGAGATAATAGTAATAATAATAAAAATAATTTTATTAGACTTATAGCTGCTATAATTAATAACATTTTTAGTACTTTGTCTCATGCGCTACACTAAGTGTTGTCTATGCCTCACCTTATGTAAACATTAACTGCAACTTAGAAGATTGCTAAGAGGTGAAGAAACATTTTACAGATGAAGAAACAGGCTGAACAACAAGCATCCCAGGTGTACGTTTCATTATTGTTTATACATTGTGTTGCAATTATATGCTATTATCTGCTTCGATGAAAACTCTCCAACGACTGAGACTCTGAACTTTCCAATTTGGAATCTTAACATCTAACAGTGCTTGGCATCTTTAAGGTGTGTATTCAATGTTGAATTATGGAAGACCTTATGTACTTTATAGTGATAGAAGCTTTCAAAGGGCAGTGGTTCTGTCCTGTGTGATTTGGACCCTCTTACAGCACCTAACGTAATACTCAATAAGTATTTGGAAGGTTGAGTATGTGGATTTAAAATTGGCTGGAAAAACTCGAGTAAGCTCAGAAGTTTCTGAGTGATGGTGCCAGTAGAGGCATCACTACTGAAGGAGGATTGAGATGAACCTCCTGATATGCTCTTGCCGCAACGGTGGCTCTGACTCTTATTTAAGCATTCTTATTCATGACCTGGAGAGAAAAAAAAAGGAAGAAGCTGCTCATTTTTAGAATTCACTAATGATTCTAATTTGGAAAGTATCTTGAGCAGCTCAGGCAACAGAAATAAAATGCAAATGACCTTTGAGACTCGAGGTATGTAAGCTGGGAATAATAACTTTGTGAGCATTTGAAAAAGGCAAGGCAGTGAATACACCTGGGGAAAGAGAATCCAAACACAGAGCTGTTCTGGGAAGCAGACGCCAGATCGCAGTGATGCCAAAGTAGACCCAGGAGGCACAGTGGTTTGCAAATTAAATTCAGGCCAGCCATGCAGTCTGGCAAGATGAAAGAGAAGTCCAGGTTGAGGCTGCCTTGCAGAAGGGCACGGAATAACAGTTCCTCTGTGGACAGTTGTAGCTGAGCAGCACCTGGCACCACACGTTGTGTTCCCACCACTTCATTACTAGGGAAGCTCAGGCAATTTGGAAGTGCAGAGAATAGCAATAAGAGTGAATGAATTCAGGAGCCCGCGGAAAGGATGCGGATGAAAGATTAAAAGGATTAGATAGCTATAGTTTAGCTACAGAAAGCTAAGGGAAGAGAAAGGAGAGGCCTGGAAACTAATAATAAATATTCAAGTCTGTTCTAAAATAGCCAAGTGGAAATTTGCAGAGTAACCATCAAATTAAGATTTGCAGTTGAAAATGGACATTTTCTTCCAAGTCATAGGCTTCTTGCCTGAACCAGCACTCTGCCTACCCAGGTGCTCAGTAAATACTATCTTATAGAATAACTTTTGTTTGCCAAGAGTATAGGATCTGGGAATTAGACCAACTGTGAAAGCACATGAAAAAATCAGCCAACTGGCTCCTTAGCGCCCCGTGAGGACAGGAGTAAAGGAACCAGATTTTTGTTGTGTTGTTCAAGTCATACTCTTTTCAACAATGAAGTTACCTCTTCCCATTCAGACAAAGAACAAAATAGAAACCTTTTTAGCACAGGGAATGCCTAAGACACGGTTGACTAGGCTGGTTAAATCTCAGCGTTGCAATTTTCTTTATGCCAAAGGGAACAAGCAAAATACTGATGCCCACCCCCTCAGACACACCTTCCTAGGCAATGGAGGGGGTGTAGAAAAGGCTGTACTTCTGGACTAACAGACTTGATGGACTTCACCTTAAAGGATCAACTGCTTGATAGGCCAAAGCAGGTGGCTCACGAGTCAGGAGTTTGAGGCCAGCCTGACCAACATAGTGAAACCCCGTCTCTACTAAAAATACAAAAAATTAGCTGGGCTTGGTGGCGGGAGCCTGTAATCCCAAATCACAGCTCTTTGGGAGGGTGAGGCAGGAGAATTGCTTGAACCCCAGAGGCAGAGGTTGCAGTGAGCCAGGATCGGGCCACTACACTCCAGCCTGGATGACAGATAGAGACTTCACCTTAGGGTGGGGGAAAAAAAAGATAAATTGCAAATATCCAGGTACCTAAGTTAGAGGTAATTTCTTGTTTTATAGAAAGAAGTCTCTGTAAACAGCCAACTCTCCTTGATTTGTGTCATCCTTTGTTTACAGATCATTAACTACACCTTTCTTAACCTAGCACCTGGGTAAGAAAATAAAGTATTCAGCTTCCCAGCCAATTGCAAAGCCATGGCACCGCCATTATTAAGCTCCAGGCTCAGAGGGCTTCCTCAAACAAGCCAAGCCTTTGAGACATACTGATCCTCCCTCCTGGTCTTGTTTGTCCTCCCACTTCTCTGCCCATTCTTGCTTTCTTCCTAGCTGGCTCCCTCTCATTCTTTTCCTCTCAACGTAAATGTCCCCTCTTCTAAAAGGCCACTCTGTGTGTATGTGTGTGTGTGTGTGTGTGTATGTGTGTGTATCTGCTTGAGATGATTTTGGCTGCAAATAAGAGAAAATTGTATCGATAGTGGCTCAAGCCAGTAGATATTAATTCACTTGCTTGAAATCCATAAATACATAGTCCAGCTCTAGTACCACGGCTCAGCAATGTGGTCAGGGACTAAGCAGCCTTCTATCTCTCCGCTTCACCTCATAGCATTGGCTTCCATCTTCATTATTTCAAGATATCTGCTCCACTCCAGCATCACATCCATGCCCCAGGTAGGATGACATAGCAGGAGTTAAAGGAGCATAAAGTCTTTCTTACAGTGAGGCTTTGTTTCTTTATTCAGGAAGGAGAGTCCTCCCCAGAGATTCCTAACTATCTCTGATTGATTAAAACTGTGTCACATGCAAGGTAATCTGAAATATCACAATTAGCTTCCCAACCTCCATAGTAGAGGAAGGCAAGGGAGAGGGGTAGGTGGATAACTTTTAGGTAGCCAAACTTCAGTGTCTGCCATGGTGTCTGCCTCTCCCTCCCCTATCCCCATTTACCCTCTGTCATGGTTCCATAGTTTTTCTTTTCATGGCAATTACCATGATTTGTAGTTGTACATTTTAATCCTACTGGGATAGATACCTTCCATAGCTGGTTCTGTCACCACTGTATCCTCAGCCCTTAGTGTCCTGTGCCTGATGAATAGCAGATACTTAATAAACCTGGCTTGATTTGTGGGTTAGTTGGCTGCTAGATGAAAAAAGAAGAGAAATTATTTCTGGAGTTATCACACAATCACAACATCCTGGAAAAACAGGATTCTGGTTATCAAAATTTGATTTATACACACATCTTCTGTATTTATTATATAATGTTTCAAATATAAAGAGATACATATATATGAAATAAGGAACATTCAAATACTCACCGTTCAGCTCTATCAGATTTACAGATCTTGCCATAGACCCTTGAGGTCTGTTGATATTGTTACATTTTAAGAAACAAAACATCTGAAATACAATTGAAGCCCTTGTGTCCCTTCCCTGGTTCTGTGTTCCTGCCTTTCTGTCTCCGGAAATAACCATTACCCTGAATTTGAGCCTACCTGTCTACTATGCATTTTTATACTATGGCTACATATGTGCATATTCATAGCAATTACAGGACATTATTTTGCATGTTTTCAAGCTGTTATGTAAATATTGTATAAAAATTATATAGATTATAAAAATACTGAAAATATATTACCTTTTCAGTCTATTTTGTTATTGATATTTAACTACATTTTTGCATGTAGCTATGTAATGTTTTGTTGTATAAATATAACACAATTTAGTTTTTCATTTTTCTATTGCTAAACATTTTGATTGTTTACAGTATCCCCCTATTACAAGTAATGCGACATACAATTAACATTCTTTTACTTTTTTTTTTTGTCACACATGTGAGGGTTTCTTAGTCTGAGATATATACCTAGAAGTAAATCTACAGGGTGGAGGAGGTAGGATTGCTTTGATTTTCTTTGATTTGGCTGAAGTGTTCTACAAAACAGTTGTGCCAATTGATACCTCCACAAGCAGTGGATGAAGGAGGCTGTTTCGGGTTTCAGCAGTTGGTATCATCAGACAGATCTATATCAATCTTTTGGTGTGAAATGGCATCACATCATTTTATTTTGTGTTTCTCTGACAACGAGGAAGGTCGAAGATCTTTTAATACATATCTTGGCCAATCAAGTTTCCTTTATAAAAAGCACCTATTTGTGTCTATTTCCTTTTTTGAGGGGATCTTTTTTTTTTTTCTTATTGATTTATAGAGTATTTTATATATTCTGGATAGCAATTCTTTGTTGCTAACACGCATGGCAAATGTCTTTTTCTACACTGTTGCTAGGCTTTTCATGTTGTTTACGATGTTGCTTTATTAATAGGAGTATTAAATTTTAATATAGTATGATTTATCAACCTATGACTCTGTGGTTTGGGCTTTTTATGTCTCATATAAGAAATCCTTCTGGATCTCCAAAATTCTAAAGATATTCTACCATGTTTTCTTATAAAAGCTTTACAGTTTGGCTTTCCACAAGTAGTCCAGCTGGAATCATTGTTATATAATATAATGTGCTCTGATTTTATTTTATTTTTTTCTGTGTGGATAACTAGTCATCTCAGCAACATTACTGAATGCTTCATTTTTTGGTCACTGATTGATGCCAAGTTTGCATTCATGTGTGAGTCTCTTTTTGGATTCTGTATTATGCTTAAGTGCTCTATTTTTTCTCCATGACAGTACTACTGTAGCTTTAGAGATATTATTGCATAGGGTTAGGTGCAGGGACATAGTAGCCACACTGCTTGAGTTTGAATCGTAACTCTGCCACTGCCTAGCCATGGGACTTTGAAAGAGCTCCATAATCTCTTTGTGTACTTTTTATCTGTAAAATGGTGACAACAATCATAGCTAATTTATAGTGGATAAAAAGTTTTTGCCTGGTCTTTTTTTTTTTTTTTTTTTTTTTTTTTGAGACAGAGTTTTGCTGTTGTTGCCCAGACTGGAATGCAGTGGCATGATGTTGGTTTGGTTCACTGCAACCTCTGCCTCCTGGGTTCAAGTGATTCTCCTGCCTCAGTCTCCTGCATAGGTGGGATTACAGGTCCCCACCACCAAGCCCAGCTCATTTTTGCATTTTTAGTAGAGACTGGGTTTCACCATGTTGGCCAGGCTGGTCTCAAACTCCTGACCTCAGGTGATCCACCCCCCTCAGCCTCCCAAAGTGCTGGGATTACAGGCATGAGCCACTGTGCCCAGCCTTGCCTGGCATTTTAATAAACCTTATAAGTTAGCAGTTTTAGTCGTAGTATGACTATCAGTATTATTATTACTAATTGTGATATCTGACAGGTCAGGTCACTTCTACCCTTTTTTCTTCTTCAAAATAATCTTAACTATTGTTGACCTTTTGCTCTTTCACATGAATTTCAAGATCAGTTTATAATGCTTCATGACAAAGTCGGATGAAAACAGAAATGTCATTGCATTGACATATGGATTAATTTGATTCTTCTCCGTAAACTTGGCATAACTTTGTTTAGTTATTTTATGCCAATTAGAAAGTAGTTTTATAATTTATTCCTAAAAGGCCCACACGTGTTTCTTAGAATTATTTTTAGCTACATTGCAGTTTGTTGCTGCTATTAATTATTATTATCACAGCTTGGATTCTAGTGTCAATGCTATGTTCTTTTTTATTGATACATAATATTTGCACATATTTATCCAGTCCATGTGACATATTTTTGCATTTATAGAATGTGCAATTATTAAGTCAGGGTATTTGGGGTATTCATTACCTTGAATTTTTACCATTTCTGTGTGTTGGGAATATTTCAAGTTCTTTCTTCTAGGTGTTTTGAAACTTACAATACATTTTTGTAAACTATAGGCACCATACCCTGCTGTCAAACATTAAAACTTATTTCTTCTATTTCACTGTATGCTTGTATTCATTAACCAACCACCTCTCTTCATACCCCTGCCCCCCGGGCCCCCCTCCTCCTACACACACTCACAGCCTCTGGTAACTATCATTCCACTCTACCACCATGAGGTCAATCTTTTCAGTTGTATGTCAGCTCCACTATTGGGGGCAGTGGGGTCACTGCCAATAGTTCATGCATTGGCCCTGGTGGCACCAGCCAGGAGCAGTGGCTGCTGCAGGTGGGGGATGTCAATGATTCTCCAAGAGTGTGGAGATGCAGGGACTGTTGGGCCCTAGGGCAAGATGCAGTCTGGTGGAGGCTGAGCTCTCAAAATGACACCTTGCTGTAGCTAGTTAGAACCTGGGGTATGTATGGGACCCAATGTGAGCTCCCTCTCTGGAGCAGTGCTGTTGTGTGGACTCCAGGCAGCTCCCTATGTTAGTCTCAGGGTCACAAGCGTCAAGGGACTCTCTCATGGCTAGGATTGCTGGAGTCTGTGATGGTTATGTGGACCACTGAGGATCTCTCACTTACCCTTTCCGCCGCACTGGGGAGCTTCTCTAGGCTCTGAGCTGCTCCCTACTGAATTGGATGCCTCACTTCCCTCTTCCTTTGCTTTCCTTTCACTTTTCTGCTGAATTCCAGTGTCCTCTCTTAGATGACTTATTTGATGTGTGATTATCTGTTCACTCTTTTGGTTCCTCTTTGTGAAGGAGATGAGTGCCAGATGCCTCTAGGCAGCCATCTTGAAGCTCCTTAGTGTTATTATTCTTGAATGTGTTGTTACTGCTCTGCACAAATTCCGTTGTTATTTTTATGTTGATCCTGTATCCAGCCACCTTGCTGAACACTGACTAATATTTATGATCTGTGTTCCCATGAATTATTGATGTAAACAAACTGATTGTTTATGCTTCAATATAGTTTTGTTTCTTTCTAATATGTGCCTCATATTTAT